TACCAAAACATCACATTGGATGGGGGGTTTGGGACGTACCAACTGTTCCGTACGAGTCGTACGGAACAGTTGGTACGTCCCAACCCCCCCATCTAATGTGATGTTTTGGTACCTTCCTGCCCACGTGCAGGAAGGTTTTTTTTTCCTGTGCTGATTCTACGGTACGACCGCGGCGATACGGACACCTTACCGATCCCTGCGCTACGCGGGCGATCCGATCGGCAAGTTTCTGCTGGCAGCGGGCTCAAGGGGCAGCTGCTTTGGGCCCCACAAGCAAGCGCCCTCTTTGCCCCGCGTTAAAGACGGCCCTGAGCACAGTGATGATGGATAAGTGAAAGAAAGGCAAAGAGTGGTCTAAAAAATGTCCAAAGTGCTACATACATCTTCCTGTGACCACAGTTGCAAATATTAGCTAAAAGTTTTAGGCCCATGGGTTCTAGGCCAGCCTTTGTAACGTGGCCACAAGGGGAACATGGGCAGAAAAAACAAAACAAATCGCAGTGAGAAGGAAAACTTCAAAACAAATCCTGTCTGACCTCCAAGATGTAGAGCAATCTTGACTCACCCCATTCGTTGCTGTTTGAATGAAAGTGGCCTCCATGGTTGAAGACCCCCACTTCTGAAAGATTGGCATAATAAAGCCAGACTGAAGCTTGCTAAAATTCATGTTACAGTTCTTCTGTGGGGATTTTCTTTATCCAAAAGAAACTAAATTAGAGCTTTTCTTGCAAAGCTCTATGTTCACAGAAGGAGAAAAAATGTCCCCCCCCCCCCAAAAAAAATGGCTCCATCCATACTGTTAAACAGAGGAGGATCTATAATGTTATTGTGTTGCTGTGATGGCTCTGTTATAGGGTGCCTTAAATCTGTGCAGGACTCTATGAGATCAGAAGAATATCAAGGCATTCCGCATTGAAACATAGTGGCCAGTGATGGAAAGCCCTATCTCAGTCTTAGGTCATGGGATATTGATGAGCAAAAATTGGGCTGTTTTGAAATGGTCTGCTGAGTCCTAATCTGAATCCAGATTCAGATCCAATGGAAACATCTATGGAAAGAGCTAATACCCACAGTTAGGCAAAGGAGCTCTTCAAACCTAAAATAAATGGAGCCGTTTGTTAAGTAGAGTAGAACAAACTAACAGTTGAGAGGCTTAGAAGTCTTATTCTGAGCCATAGGATGTATTTGTTTGCAATCGTTGCCTTCATATGCTTCATTCAGGAGTACCAATAATTATGCCCATGTCATTTTCATTTGTTGTATTATGTACAATAAATATATTAAGTCATAAAGCAGATCCAAAGTGCCTGCCTAATGGACATTATAAAAAAAAAAGAAGAAGAATGGGGCATGCCAGTTACTTGTTAATAGCAAATTGAGATTCTTTGGGGATAAAGTGGAAGGTTACCCAGATTTTTTACCACAACTAAAGTTTTAAAGACTTGTAGGAATGAGAGGTGTTCATGTTGCATAAGGTCTACTTTTTCATTTTCTAGTTCCAGAAATCCAGTGTTTGTTGTATTTAAGAGATCTGCTCTGTCATCGTACCCTATATTGCAGAGTATGACAGCTGAAGGCATCTGTAGATGTGTATTTTGTACATGGGGTACTAATGGTCCGGTTGTGTGAATGGATAGAGGAATGACTGGGAGGTAAATATTTTTGCATGAAAGGGTATCCAACTTCCATCCTAGACAGCAGGGTGCTACAACATTTCAACAGCCTGAACAAGATAGGTAATGAACACTATCGCCAAGGCAGATTCTGTCACTGCCCCACCTTATAGTACTACATTTGTCCAAAAAAAAAAGATTTTTTTTATTTTTCCATACAATAAAAAGAAAGTATCTGAAACGGATGTGTCTCAAAAGGTAGAACGTTTGTATAGCTAAACCTGCAGGGTGCCAGGGGAAAGGTAGATCCATTCTTAAAAGACAGCCAGTGATGACTGCGATGGTGCAAGACGTTTGGGTACTCAGTCTTAGAAGTATACATTTAATCAGACAGGACTCCAGATTTGTGCCCAGAGTAGCAGAAATCCCAGTAAGACCATATAGTCTTTGGCAGGTTTTAGGATACTGGATCTGGCTCAATCTTTGCCCCGCTTCACCTGAATTCCCTGGATGCAGCACCCTCAGGCATGCCAAATACCCAAGATAGAAAACCAGTGATGAGATGGAAAATAAAAAAAATAATAGGATTCAATTTTTGGCACCAAGGGCAGTGTGATTTTGTGGGAGTCTCATTGACAATGCATCTTTCCTTAAGGTAGTTGTACAAGCTTGCTTACTAAAGATTTAGAGGGTTATTCACAAACCTGCCGAAGGCAGCCGAGTGAATAATCAACCCGAAGTGAAGTGAGCCGAACGCTGGTCAGCTATTCACTTCAGGCTTGTGCGGCTGATTTCAGCCGTACAACGGCTGGCTTCGGTTCAGCCGAACATGCTTTGCATGTTCGGCTGAGCCGAAGTGCAGAAGGAATTCGACTCAGCCGATCCAACATCTCTTTCGGCTGAGCCGAACCTCCGGCAGGCTACCCGCTGAATAGGCCGGAGCTACGGCTGATACTTCGGTTAGCTTTGTGAATAACCCTCTTAGATTTGCCCCTCTTAAATTAGCTTTAGTTGAAATGGCTGAAGAGGGCACTTGAATTTAAGATGCCTCCTGAGTTGACAGTTGCTTCTACATCAGTAGCATTACCTCATACCGATAGCATAATGTCTTCCAGCCCCCGTTTCTGTATAACAGTATCCGAATTGTTAGCTTTTTTCCAAGGGGGCTCCCTTATATGCTAATCTTACACCCGATATGGAAGACAGTGCAGGTTTCACAATAACTTCATGCAGTTAGCTAAACAGTAACAGTCAGCCCTCAATGGGCCTCTACATTCTCTCAGGCCACAGAGTCACCCTTAGATCAGTAGGGATAAATATAAAGAAAAAGAAAAAGCTTTCATATGCAAAAGCTAGAACACAATAATTTAAAGAGCAACAGAAGTTCCACAACTTTTTTCAATCTCTTTCTTGCCTTATATTCTTGCCTGCATTTTAATGAATTGTGTCTTTGCTTGGAAAGGTCTTAAAATACCCTTTTCTCCAAGTAAAAAATGCTGCTTCCTTCACGCCCACTGCAGTGCCCTATACTGGCAGAGCGGAGTAACAGCCACACCCCCTCTTCCCAATCTTCATCACACAGACTCGTGCGGCAGAGGAAGAGATGGGGCGTGTCAGACCAGTGTCTGCAACGGAGTGCTGATTACTGAGTTCACCGGGTTTAACTTTGGAGCCTAGAGGACTTCAGCCATATTGAGACATACTGCACAGCTGCTACAAAGGTTCCTTCACACCAGCATCGTTGGGCAGCCCAACAAAGTCCCAACACAAGAAAAAGCCAATCTGCATTGGCATGTGTTAAAAAAATAAAATAATAATAATGTTGCAGTGGATAGAAATACCATAGGGTAAAAAAAAGAAAAAATGGGAATAAAAAATGCACCGGAATGGATGCACAAAATGCATTGCAGCACAACTCAAGAAATGCATACCAACATGAAGGAATGGGCGATGGTGTGAACAAGACCTGAATGGAAAGTGCAGGTTGTTGGTTTTTGACTACACATCTATTTTTGTGACTTCAATTGAGCTTTAAGACTGAATACTTGAATGCTTGCATTTGCCCAGCCATAACAGGTTCTCTTGAAAGCAATAGGGAAAACAAATGATAATCTACACCAAAAGGTCACATCCTACAGGAAGTGTAACGTTAAGGAGCAGCAGAGAAGACTACAGATAATTAGAAAAACCTAAGTCTACACCAGACTGCACGTTCAACATTCTTGCGGCTCAGTCAACAACGTACACAAAGACTCGCTTGTGTTTTACTCACAAAAATACACAAAAGGGAAAAAAAAAATATTTTCTACATATATACAACCTCACAGTCCAAAGTTTATACAACAACGACAGAAAAAAAAAATAAAGAAATTGCAAAAAATAAACAAAATATCCTGGCATAGTAGTAGTCCCAGAAATGTTCCCTGTCTTGGAAAAAGTAGGCGTCAGTGGAAGTTCCAGAGCCGTGCCAGAAAAAAACAAAACTCGCAGAGCGTTTTTTGGGTTCGGTCATCTCCCGCTCCTAGCTGGCGCTGGTTTTCGGATCTGTGGTTGGAGTGATGGCGTCATTGGCATAACCGTCGTAGCGATTCTCTGAACACAAGGAGAGCTCATCAGCTGTGTCCATGCTGTTGTTGATTTCTAAAGAGATATAAAAGAATGTAATGGTAAGAAATACATTAACTTTAATTTGAACCCGTCACAGGAGAAAGCCATATTGTAAGCCAACTAGTTCACCAGGAGGACATCCTGTAGCTGTCCATCCACCCACTAGAGTATGATGTCTCTTATAAATGGATAGCCTACATTTTCACTGATATCACCGGCTAGTGAACAGATAATTGGCACTCACTGATGTCCCTGGCCTCTAGTGATTGGATAGGCTGCATTCTCAGTGATGTCACCGGTCTCTAGTGAATGGATAGGCGGCATTCTCAGTAATGTCAACAGTCTCCAGTAAATAGATAGGCGGCATTCTTTATGGTCTCATCAGTCTCTACTGAATGGATGAGTGTCAATCTCTGTAACAGCACTGGTCCCTAGTGAGTGGACCGGTTCCATTTTCAGTGATTCTTAAAAGGAGAACTATGTGGTCAGGGTTTTTCCCCATAGTTCTCCTTAGGGTAACGGGAGGACGCAAACTAGCGTCCTCCCATCACCCTAAGCTCAGTATACCACGAGCTGTAGCTGCTGCTCGCGGTATACTAAGACGCCGCAGCTGAAGCGGATCCCGACAATTATGTCTGGATCTGCCCAGCTGCGTGACTGACAGATGGCTTTGCCTATCTAGAGGCAGAGCCAGCTGTACCCGCCCCCTCCCCTGTCCGTTCCGCCAGCAGGCGCTGGCGGATCGGAGTGGGGAATCCAGCCCCTCCCCTGTCACGGCAGAGAGCCGTGACAGGATCGAGAGGTGAGCGAACGCCGGTATGTGTCCGCTCACCTCCTGATCTACTGAGCCGACCTGTGACAGTCTCATTGTCACAGGTCGACTAGAACTATGAGGTGAGTGAAAAGCACGCCCCTCATAGTTCTCCTTTAATGATCTCACCAGTCTGTAGTTAATGGATAAGCTTCAATCTATGGGATGTCACTGGTGCCAAGTAAATGGACACGCTGCATTTGCATACATCAATAGACTGCAATTTAAATGATGTCACCTGTATTTACTATATGGATAGGTTGCATTTACAATTCTAAACAGAACCAAAGAGAGGGCGCCTTTCCTAGTGCAGAATGTTGATTCAATATCATCAAAATCGTACAGACAGGTACTCACAATGAGGGTGTGAAAACGAGCAGCAGGACAGTAAAAACCGCAACAGAGCAAGGGTCCGTGTGGAGCGTCCTGTATAGTATTCGCATTTACAATTCTGTAACTAGTCTCTACTAAAGGAATTGGATGCATTTGCAGTGGTGTCACTGGTCTATGGTGATGGAATAGGATGCATTCCTAATGACATTGCTGGTCTCTAGTGAATGGCTAGATTGAATATCAGTTCAGCACAACACAATATGGCTTCCTCAGAATATCCCACATCTAAATTAATATTAGCAGGCTCATATTAATTACATAATTTCAAATTTGTTAAAGATCTTCTTTTCATTGACCAATAAAATTATGATTTAGAGGAAAAGACATGTTTCTTCAAGGGATTGTCCTTCATTGCTGAAAAAGTGGAAAACTCATCCAACAAGGCATAACCTACACCAGAGGCCAACACACCTTGGTACACATTTACCCTTCTCATTCACACTGGGGTGGGTCACATTTTTCTCGTCAGCAACAAGGGGCCAAGATAGGCAACAGTCACCCATGATACTGTGACTTCACCTACATGTTTACAGATGATTCTCCAAAGATTGTAGAAGATAGTCATGGTGGCTCTTCAGCTTTATCCTTTCTTACTACCGTAACCGCATCTTTTTATGCAGCTAGCTGTATGCTTTGCATGTAAGCTTTGTGCGACTTCTAGTCTTCTAGTCCAAGCTGTAGCTCCATGTACATATCACCTCCTTGCACTTGTCTACACAATAGTGCTGCAGCTCTGAATACAATTCACAGGCTGGGGGGCTACAATGCTGGCAAATCAGAAGAAAAGGGAGTGCGTAGCCGCCAGATTCAAGTGAAAGGATCCCGCGGGGTTTCTGGGGCAGAATACGAAGGTATAATTATAAACTTCATGAAAACTTTTTTATAAAGTGTCATGATAGCAGATAATGAAACGTAAAGACACATATCATAGGTCATTTTTATTTTTGACCACAGAAATACTTTTATTTTGGAAGGAGTAGGGAATTGTTAGAAGAAGTAATTAGAAATCCAAAATTTTACAGTTCTCACCAGAACATGAGGAGAGGGGAAATATTTCAATGGGGACGCCTGTCTGAGAGGATTTCCCATCACTCTGCAGAGATTCCTTCTTACCTTGTGAGCAGTCTCCAGAACAAGGAAGTGAAGGAAAATATCTCCCCAATGGAGACGGACAGCAAAAAAAAAGCTCACGGAGATATTAATAAAACCCTATTCTCTCCCAATTAAAAAAACCCCCCCACAAGTTTCAGCTTTAGACTTCAATGGAAGGGTGAAGCCAAAACATTTTCCTGAAGAAACTTCAGTTTACATAAGATTAAGATATAGCTACGTGGCATTTCTTTGCTGCACTGACCACCATGGTTCCTAGGCACATATCATTCGCTGGCCGGATACACAGTGTCATACTAAAATGTGTCTCTGATATTACCAGGAAGCTGTGCTTTAGTAAAAAGTTTCCTCCAAGCCACACATGACACTTTCAATCCTGATCTACATTAACTGGTATTCTGCTTACGTTCTTCATTTGTCATCTGCTGTTCCTTGACCTCCTGCACTTTATTATGACTGTGCCCCATCACACCCTGACTTTGCGTCAGTTCCCTCCCTTCACACCACCTGTGAAAACGGAGTCAGCAAACACAAGGTGAAATGGAAATCTACGTGCAGGAGGGTTTTGGTGAAGGGCACAGTTTTCCTTCAACTACATCCTGTTGTGGAAATTTTATTAGGATGTGTTATTAGTGTATTGTAATGTTTTGTCATTAGTCTCTCAGTGTCTCGGTAAATAGACACTGGGGGATTAATCCATTGGAGGAGATTTCTTATGCGCAGCGGAGCTGTGTCTTGGCGAATGTATGGACGCCGGCTGGGATATGGGGAGCCCTTGCTACTGTTGACATAGAAGATCCACACTACCTGAGGCATTCATCATACAACAAAAACTCCCAGACAATGGTCCCAAGAAAAGGCAAAGTACATAATTAGCTCAGTTAGATATTAGCTCAAGAGCCCAGCCGCTGGATTCATCAGATTGCATAAAATGTATTCACTTGAAGAAGAAATGATGTTCATTTTCAAATACAATTTTGGTTGGATTGGCAAATCACACTGCAAAGTAAAGATTGGATTCTACATTTTTCTAATTTTTTTATAAACATGAAGGACAAGCACTCTTCTGCGACGGACACCCTTACCTGTCACCTCCGGGTCTTTGTGAGTAATGGCAATTTGGGGCTGCTCTGACTGTGTTTTGTACAGTTCTGTAGAACATGTTGGCACTTTATTAACGCAGAATAAAAACATGGTAAGAAAATCGAGTCTACAAAAGTTTCTAATTAGTTAGACCTCTAAATATAACTTACTAACAATTCTGTCTCCATGAATAAGATGCAGATAAGCTTGTCTTCTAAACCCATTGTTTGTGACCACCCTACTTTAATATCACTGGCAGTCAAAATAGTGGTTAGCACTCTGTGCCTGCACCCACCCCTGGATATTATGATAGGCCGCATACACGTAAATGTTAGAGGCCTTAGCAGAAGTGGTAATAGGCTTATTCAATAAATACTGCCAGGAGAAACGTGCAGTGACACAGAGGAGTGAGACATAGCATCCAATCAGAATTTACTTTACTAAAAACCACTGCAATCTGGAATAAAACTGATTGCTATGGGTGCAATGTTCACTATCGGCGCTGGTCTCAACTCTCTGTGATCTCTACCATATAGAACGATTCTCACAAGGGGTGCTGCTCCTCAAATGAACCAGGGAGCCCCTCAATCATAAAGATCAAAACAAAGCACAGGGTGCCTATTCCTTAATTCAGGTGACAATATAAAATAAGTAAATATACCCTCAAAGTTCCTAGTAAAGAACGCTTGTATTGCAGGCATGTTACGAGACTGGGCTGGTATACCTGATCTAGATGGTGTGGATATATCCCGGCCTTAACGTGCCCACAATACAGCCGTTCTTTACTAGGAACTTTCTGGGTATATTTACTTATTTTATATTGTCACCTGAATAAATGTTATTTCACAAGGAATGGGTGCTCTGTGTTTTGTTTTGATCTTTAGGATTGCTATGGGTACGATACAGTGAACTATAATTACTTTGCCACTAATTTTGAATAAGCTTTTAAGTGCTAACCAGAAAAAAAAATGTAAAAAGCCCTTCTACACTAAAACAAAAATAAAATGTAAAAAAAAAAAAAAAA